AGGTTTCCACTACCATGCCCAAAAAGCTCTTTATAGTAGGCTGTGGCATGAGCAAGAAGGTTGTCAGTTCCCTCAATCGTTATTTCTCCGTCAGTAAAGGACTGAATTGTGTTCTTACGTTTCTTCCCATTGGCTATTCGATGGTAGAAGGCTGTATTGAGATCACCTTTTAATAGCCATCTTTCATTAGATTGTTGCAGCCAGAACAATTCTTCATTGACCAGGATACCGTTCAGTTCAGCTTGCAAACTAACCTTTTTTCATATATCTCCGGATCGAGGGACCCCTCTTCTTCCTCCTGTTCAATTTTTTCCAGCTCCGCTTTGATGCATTTCTTCCTTTTTCTATTATGCCCAAAGGTATGGGAACCCCACCCTTTAAAATATTTCTTAAGTCGCTTCAGTTTAATATTAAGAACATCAATAGGATCTGTAGCCCGAACTGGCTGTTCCCAAAAATTTTTTGGCCGTAGGATAAAACTTTTCATCTCTCAACCAACTTAGTTCAAATCTGAACTCTCGTTGTCGTGGGGTGTCAGGATTCTTCGCCCCCGAGGAAATTAAGAGAGGATTATGATCAGATACGTCCCTTACCAGCTTACGGACCGTAACCAAAGGGAATAAATCTTCCCACTCAAAACTCATCAAAATTCTGTCAAGTTTCTCTAGGGTAGGGTGCTTTTGATTGTTAGTCCACGTGTATCTACCTCCACCCATGTGAATCTCTCTAAGACACAGAGAGTTAATAAGGGAGTTGAACTTGTCAACATAAGGCGGTCGACTCATAGGTTTATTTTTATCATCATTACTTCGCAAGATATTAAAGTCACCCCACTATGTAAGGGACCTGAATTCGCAAGCACATTGAGGCAAGCTCAACAAGGAAGTCATCTTTACTGTCGTCATGAGCCGCCCCATAGACTGTAACGATCGCCCAAACACGATCGAGCTTAACATCATATAGGTTTGCCTGTAAACAAAATCTACCTGAGGTCCAGGATATTACTTCTAAGGTTTCCTTCCTGACACCACAAAGGATAACGCCTGCTTTACCATTTGAGGGTACCCAATTCCAATCAAAATTATTCATACGATCAATCTTTCTAAGATTTTTCGGGGGGAAGTTTTTTTTCATAGTTTCTTGAAGGCAAATGAAATCTAGGGAATGATCTTTGATTATATCAGAGAAGCATGAAGTCATTCCTTTCTTTCTTGCTCCTCTGCAATTTCAGAATAGACCATTCATTTAATAACAGTAGGTTTCTTTCCCTGTTTGGCATTCCTACCAGGAGGTAAGGTAGGGCTACCACTATATTTCTCAGGGGCTTTCCTGTTTCTTTGACTTCTAGTTACATGTCTGGAGATAACCACATTAATTTTCTTTTCTTTTCTAGACCGGACTACAGTAAAGGATTCCTCATCAACTTCATTTTCCTCACACCACCTCAGATCCAAAGGTGTCTGATCCCCCTTCCCATTAGTTAACATCAAGACATTATTTCTTTTATCATTGTCATCCTCCTTCCCCTCTTTGTATTCTTTGTTTCTAGCTTTTTCCAATTCTTTAAGTATGTCAATGCTAGTAAAATCAGTATCAGGGATATTTATGCCCATCTTGGCAGCTCTAAGCATTAACATAGGATCGGATAACGATTCAAAGGAGTTGGTGTTTTGGGAGTTACCTTCTAGATCCCTCTTTTTTGCCGCAGCAGCAGCTTTGACATCCACACGCTCCAGATTACTCTGCACATTCCTCAGACTGAAGCGAAGATTTTCTTCAGTAACAAGAGGGGGGCAGGAATCACCTCTGCCTCAGGCGACTCCACCCTATAGTCACTGACCACCTTTAAACCAGAGTCATGTTGACCAATCACCTCCACCATCTGGGGAACTTTTTTAACCGCATCAGCATATGACTTAAATTCATTTTTATTGATTTTGTTTTCTGTCACCAAAGGATGCTGGCGGGGTGTACTTACTTTCTCTTTTTCTTCAAAATCATGTTCCATTGTATCAATAAGCAACGTAGTATGGAGCGAATCATCAGATTCCATACTCTCTTGTGACTCCCGAATCGGGTCAGGGACTTCTCTCTAGGGAATGGAGGGAGACTTCCTTCCAAGCCCAGTCGAAGAGCTGCCCATGTTAGCTCCAGGAGTCACGTTTTGCTTCTGATTTTTTTCATTGTCCCCATCTGTGTTAGGAGACACCATCATATCTTTTTTCACACGATTCGGATCACCAGAACTTGCTCCACCTCATAGAAGAAGTCATAAAAGTGCCCCCCTAAGACTGATTCGGCCACCCCTGGTATCGCATCCACATTTCTACACCCAATTTTAACCCGAGCCGACGCTGGGCGGTGCAGAGTAGCAGAATCAATCTCTAGAGGCACACCCACCAACGATGCCACAAAAGCAAGGTTCCTCTCACTCCTTTTGTCTAAAGGCACATTGCTAATTTTCACCCAGGCTACCTCCATCAAACCCTTCGCTCCCACTGCAGAAGACCAAGGGGTAGCATGGATCGTGGCACCACTTGTTTTCAGAGTGACAGTTTTCACATAGCAGATTTGAGCAACAGCCCGTGGGTTAGGAAGACGCACCACAAATACCCCAGGGCCTATGGCATGAGCCGAGCAACGCCAACCCGTGGCCAAATAGTCCAAAAGATCTAACTCCATCTGCCTGGTCGACGTCTCTCCCTCAACTATAGTAACAATAATGTTGTTCAATCTCTCCTTAAGCTGACTAGCTGTAGAGGAATCATGGATGTAATAGAACCCCTGCCCTTTGGCTTGAAAGGCGCACATCGGAGCAATACACTCCCAGGGAAGGAAAGCAACACATGCAGATGCAAGGTGTCCTAGCTTGTTACAGCGTTCACAAAAAACTTGAGGACATCGAGCAGGAATGTGTTCATGCGACTTGCAAATGGGGCATGGAATAGGGTTTTTGGTAGGGTGCACCTGATTCACATTCTGCTTTCCATGGGGACGACTTTGGTGTGAGTGTCGCTGATCTATTGCACTAGATCGGGAGACGACCGAAACTTTGTAGAGCTAGCTGCCTTTCCTTCACCATCACCGGCCTGCTGCGATGTCTATGTGGTTCTTCGTCATCACAGATCACTCACAGGCACGTCCAGGTGCAGTTCTATCCAAAACCGCCCGTCCCTGTCCCGCCTCACAAAAGCAGCCACCGCACTAGAAAAATAATCAAATCGTTCGCACCTCCCCATCATCCAAATCGCATCCCTTCTCCCCAGCTGGAGCCAAAATCCGCGTTTCATTCGTGAGCTCTTCTTCTTCCGTCCGTGCGTGGCCTCAAAAGCTTAACCCAGCTCGCGCTTGCTCCGATCGTTCGTGAACTCTTCTTGCGTGCGTGCGTGGCCCGAAAGCTTAGCTTTGCCGCTCTGGTGCTTCGATCATGGCGGGCGTGGCCGTGGCGCGGCCGCTGCTGCTTCTGCTGCTGGCCGTCGTCGGGCTTCCGGCGGCCGTGGGGCTCGGGGTGAACTGGGGCACGATGGCGTCGCACCAGCTGCCGCCCAGCACCGTGGTGCAGATGCTGCAGGACAATGGCATCAAGAAGGTGAAGCTGTTCGACGCGGACGCGGAGCCGCTGGGCGCCCTCGCCGGCTCCGGCATCGAGGTCATGGTGGCCATCCCCAACAAGATGCTCGACATGATGACCGACTACGACACCGCCAGGGAGTGGGTGCACAAGAACGTCAGCGCCTACAACTTCGGTGGCGGCGTCAACATCCGGTCAGCACCTCCACTCCTCCTCAATCCATGATGATCCTCTTCTTTCTTCCTCTTCGATTCAGAATCTCGCATGGCCTCTCTGCTTATTCTGTTTTCATGCTTGTTCATCGATGCTTCTGTTGTCATCAACTCATCATGTTATAATTGCAATTTTAATTACTCCCTCCGTTTCAAATTAAGTGTCTCAACTTTGTACAGAGTTCAGACACTTATTTTAAGACGGAGAAAGTATTTGATAGTGATGTTCATATTCTTATTCTTCCTTTAAATGTGCATATTGTGAGTTTACGATATAGTCGATACATATTTATTAACCTTCTTGATTTGTGTACAATGATAGTACTATTCATGTCCTGATTCTAGATCTCAATTTCCTTTTTCCTCTTCCAAAAGCTTGAGCCTGAAGCATGCGGCCCAAAACCTTTATCTTGTTTGATAATCCATTCACAGTGGATGCCTAAAATACTCACCATAGGTATAGGACGATGTGGATATCCAATTTGCTGATCGTCCCTACCTGACACGTTCACTGGAAGCTTTCTTGTCAGCAAAGTGGCAACCTTGGCATGGCATGCATCAGCTTACTGCGACATAAAGCTACCTACACATACCCATCGCATATTTGCATCTGTCCTGCCCAGTTGATGCGTGAAGAATCTAACTTTCGGCACTTATCTGCTAACTTGTTCTTGGATGGAAAAATCTTTCTTTTCTTGAAAGATCGATATAAATTTCTGAAAACGATCTGTCATGCGCACTGGTGAACCCACGTGGATCGATCAACCCACTGAATTCTTGTCGCCTAAAAGTGATTACTTATCTTATTGCTAAAAAGCAGCGCCCTTGATCTGATTTCAGTGGCCCTTCTTGGCGCCCACTAGACACCCACCAAGTCCTTAACACATATTCTCAAAAAAAAAAAGAAGAAGTCCTGAACACATTTTTTTTCTGCGACATGGGCACAAACTGTTTCGTGCAAAGTTTTTCAAGAACTGCTTTCTTTCTTCCATGCAATTTTGCCCTGTCCCTGTATCATGCCTGAAATTTTGTTTGCGGGTGAACTAGCCGTCGCAACTGAAAACTATCCTCTGTTAGTGTTGCTTGTCTGCATCTTTGCTGTGTAGAGGCCGGGTGTTTCTTGATCATGTTTTGTATCCGCTTGATGCTATATTTTGAGTTAATAAAAACGTCATTTATTCAAATTTGTTTTGATAACCATGGTATGAAAACTAATTATGTATTCCCCTACCTGCAGATACGTTGCCGTCGGGAATGAGCCGTTTCTGTCGTCCCTGAATGGCACCTTCCTGAATGTCACGCTCCCGGCCCTGCAGAACATCCAGAAGGCCCTTGATGAGGCCGGCGTCGGCGACACCATCAAGGCCACCGTGCCGCTGAACGCGGACGTGTACCAGTCCCCCAAGGACACCCCGGTGCCGTCGGCCGGGCGGTTCCGGCCGGAGATCTCCGGCCTCATGACGGAGATCGTGCAGTTCCTCAACCAGAGCGGCGCGCCCTTCACCGTCAACATCTACCCGTACCTTAGCCTCTACGGCAACGACGACTTCCCGCTCGACTTCGCCTTCTTCGACGGCGTCAGCAGCCCCGTGGTCGACGGCAACATCCAGTACACCAACGTGTTCGACGCCAACTTCGACACGCTCGTGTCGGCGCTCACGGCGGCCGGCGTAGGCGGCCTGCCGGTGATCGTCGGCGAGGTTGGCTGGCCGACCGACGGTGAAAAGCACGCCACGGCCGCCTACGCGCAGCGCTTCTACACGGGCCTGTTTCGGAAGCTGGCGAGCAACGCCGGCACGCCGCTGCGGCCCAACCAGTACATCGAGATCTACCTCTTCAGCCTCATCGACGAGGACGTCAAGAGCGTGGATCCGGGCTACTTCGAGCGGCACTGGGGCGTGATGCGCTACGACGGCCAGCCCAAGTACGCCATGGACCCGACCGGGCAGGGCCGGAACACGGCGCTGGTGGGGGCCCGGGGCGTGGAGTACCTCCCGCGGGTGTGGTGCGTGCTCAACGCCAACGCGGGGAACATGAGCAGGCTCGCGGACAACGTGGGCTACGCGTGCTCCAACGCCGACTGCACCTCGCTCAGCCTCGGGTCGACGTGCAACGGCATGGACCCCGCGGGGAACGCCTCCTACGCCTTCAACGCCTACTTCCAGGTGCAGGACCAGGACGAGCAGGCGTGCGGCTTTGACGGGCTCGCCGTGCGCACGCGACAGGACCCCTCCACGGGCACCTGCAACTTCACCATACAGCTCGAGACCACCTCCGCGGCGGCGGGGCGGCCGACGGTACTCTTCACGACGGCCCTGCTGGTCTTGGTTCTTGCGGCCATGGTGACCATGCTCTGAGCCCGAATCTGATTGCTATATATGCGGTGCTAGTTAGTAGTGACTCGAGCAGTTAGCTACAGGAAGGAGCTAGCTAGATATTACACACTTGTAGTTGTAGATATTCTTTTGGTTTGTATACGTGTTACGCTACTGTAGTATATATGATCACATGACCCCATGGACCTCGGATTCCAAGGGTTTATTAGATGTATAGCTAGCAAGAAAGATTGAGCTCACTCATGTGCACGTCGTTGTCTCCCTTGTGTCGTATATCTTTGAGGGCGAGTCTATCACCATGCTCGTGGCTATCATAACCGAGCTTTGGGAGCTATGTTTGTGCCCTGCTTCGCCTCTGTTGGTGGAGCATATGAAGGTGAACTCGCTGGTGACCTCATGGTTTGGCTCGTCTCCATGGATTTGATAGTGACTGCTGCTTTCAGCCGAAGCGTTTTGCGGTGTACAGGCATGGACTATGTGGTCGTTGCGCGCCGGTTATGTTTGTCAAGTGTATCGTGTGGTCATGGGTTTCATGTGTTTCTGAGTAGTCCTCATATGGTTTATCGTTGTTTCTGTTTATAAAAAACAGTCTTACCAAAATGTAGTTTGTATATGGTTTATGTTCCGTCAATATTATATTTGTGAGATCTTATATTAAGATTCGTGTAAAAAAATCTATTTTCTTTCATACATGTTTTAACACTCGACCGAGACTTGGTTAAGCCTAATTCCACTAAGAACTAGCCACATCCTATGCAAAAATCGTTGTGGGATGTTTGTTGGCACTATGTCTCGAAGAGGCCACGTTTGACGCACGGCGTAGCTGGTCTCTTCCAACTTCCAAGAACAACGAACGATACACTTTCATGTTGCTTTCCTTGCTGTCGCCTCCCCCGGAACGAACGTTTCCAGAGCCCGCTCATGCTGATCTAGGAGTAGAGCAGCTATCCAACGTGTAAACATGGCGTTGCTCGTCTCCGACAGCTAGCCGCGAGTGAGGGATCCAAATGCAACAAACAAAAATGGGATGCGCCACTGATTTGTTGGTGACTTGCTGGTACCAAATGCAACTAGTCATCCATCGGATGGGAGTGAGTGAGTGAGTGGTCACTGTTCAAGCTAGCTGTCGAATATTTTTACTATTTGAATTTCATAGGATTGGAGTTGATGTACGTATGTTTCGTGCATTAGCGATTCTACTTTTCTTTTCTTTTTTTCTACGAGAGATGCATGATTCACATGAAAGGTTTTATTAGAGCAACTCCAATGCACGGACACATTTTGTCTCCTTCAACTATCGAACACTTTTATAAAAAAGTTCATGAGTATTTCCATAAATTCATGAACTTTTTTATGGAATTTACAAATATTTTCTTTATGCATGATTCATTTTGAAAATCTAAAAAAAATGGATAGATGGTTTTCATTTTGCAGCCAACAAAAGCCATTCTTTCCAAGCGGTTTTCTTCATGAGTGACACAATGCTAGATTTTCCTTAGGGAGGGAGCCACACATGTGGAGTGTTTTTCCAGCAGACCGATGTGTGCGTTATGATGGCAATTTATCGCTTATTCCCGGTGCAGGTCGGGGGATAGAGTACAGGGCAGGGCCATTAGTATGCTTCTCTTGTTTATGTCTTCTCTTTCAATTTGTTTTTCTTTTTCACTTTAGTTTTCCTTTCCATTTTTTATTTCTTATTTTTTAAAATAACCAAACATTTCTAAATTTCATAAGAAAAATCAAATTCCAAAACTTTTCTGAATTCACGAACTTTTATGATATCGAAAACAATTTTAAAATTCGTGAACATTTTTTTAATTTGTAAACCTTTTTATAATTCAAGATGGTTATTTGAAATTCATGAATATTCTTTTCAGACTGCAAACATTTTGCAAAAGCTGTAAATATTTTTTTCGAACTAATCCATTTTTCTTGAAATTCATAACATTTTTTCTATTCGTGAAGATTTTTAGAACGTGCAAACAATATTTTGAAATTAGTTAATATTTTTCAAACTCAAGAACATATATTTAAATTTTAGTGAACATCCTTCAACTATCGAATATTTTTCTAAATTCATGAACAAGTCATGAAATTTTTTTGAACCCACAAAAGATGTGGCACGTCCCGTTGTTTGGTGTGTTTGTGGAAGCGGGAAAAAGAAGTTGCGCGCCCACAAACGAGAGCTGCCATAGTTCGTTCCTTGGTAGTAGGTTGGAACAGAAGAAGGAAGGAAAAAAAAGGGGTGATGTTTAATTCTAGATTTGGCCCGGCCCCGTGAAAATCAATCAAGCAGAATCATCATCAGAACGAAAAGGGGAAAAAGAAAAAAAAAGGTTTGATGGATCGACCGGAGATATGATCCCTGCATGCATAATCTTCGGGTCATTGCACGATCTGCGTGATGCATGAGCTAAACATAGATATCATTTTAAATACTTCCTGGAAAGGCACAAAATGTGCTGGCTGCGGAATACTCGATTGGACGCGAATCATCTACTTGCCGTAGTTTCCGTTCAAATTTAAAACAAAACCATGAAAGTAGGAGGATTTTGGAAGGAGGAAGTACCTAACTTAATTTCGAGCATGCACTTGCAGCTTGAACAAATGCTTAATTAGCGCTAGTCACCAGATCGAACGCTTGGCAGACAAGCCTAAAAAAAAACTATAATTTTCGTGCGTTGAGGTGTCAGGCAAGTGTTCTATTTTTCTTCATCATGGTCTGCCAAGGAAAGGAATATCCCATTGGAACAAAATTGAGCCTCTTTTGGAACTCTTCCATTCCCACACTCAAGTGCACTCGTACTCTCCCTCAGGTAGCACTACTTATATATTCATATTTATACACTGCGTTCCGTTTCAAAAAAATATTTATACACTGCGTTCGTTCTCTCAATTCTCTCCATCCTGCAGCTAGCTACAGATCAATCCAACAAGTAAGACGCCGAGCTAGTGGTCGGGAGTCAGTATAGACAGAGAGAGATCAAGAGCAAGCAGCTTAGCCAACAATGGGCTCAAACTTGGGCGTGGCGTGCCACCGTGCCTTCCTTCTGCTAGTTAAAATTATTTTGAGCGTGACCTGCACAAGATTAATGGCACAATTACGTAGTTGGCAAACATAACCACGAAAAAGAGCACTGAATCAAACATAACTTTCATGGGTATGTTCCTAGCGGTGAAGCTAGTCTGTCCAAATC